GCTCTCTACAGCTTTTTCTATCCTTGCCATAATACCTTCTCCCCATCCCTCTACTCTCCAGAGAGCACCATAAAGTTGGAATGTTCACGTGTGCGCCGTTTTTCCTGCATACTTAGTTCAAGCCTCTCCCTCTGCCGCACTTCTCCTTTTGGTTCACCTTCTAATGAAGTTAGAGGAGTACAACTATTTTGCACTTTTCATTCTAGCTCTAGCTTTCCGTCTTCCTTCGTCCATAGTCATTTTCATCTCACTGTATTATCCCAAAACCTCTCACCCAACCAAAATGACTTTCACTCTATGCAAGAATTTTCCAGCGCTCTCCAGAGCTCCATACTCAGAAATTTTTGACTAAAGTGCAGATTTTCTCACACTTCCGAGATCCAGATGTACTTCCGTGACTGTCCAGCCACGGTATTAATCCCTCACCTCCACTATCCCAAATGGAGCAAACTGTTCCAAATATCCCGCTAAACATTTCTAGAGCACATCTTTGTTTTTTTTATTGCCAAAAGGTTCGATCTTCGTTCACGCTGCCAAAATCCAGGCACTATTCTTCATATCCTACAATTCTAATTGAAACTGTTCACATTTTACTCTCACAAAATTTGCTTTGGAAAAGCTCTCCAAAATCCTCCCTTTTCCTTTTTGGCAGCCCTTGTAGTCTGCCCTACTCTTTTTGGATCCAAAATGCCCCACAATCCCATTACTTCTGCGCTGGCAATATGGAATGCTAATTGAGTCAAGTAAATTTGTCGAGTCAAGTTGTGAGTATTTTTTGGTCCAAAAAAATGAATATATTGTCTACGTAAGATCTACTTTTATGGTCTTTTCAGTGCTTTAGTAGAGCAACGTTAAGTATGAGTGTTTTGGACAGAAGGTGTTGTTCGGATAGAGTGCTCTGCTAGTCATAATTGGACCATTTGAGCAATTCTGACGAATTCTGTGCTACAATACCGCTCATAATTCGTCAAAAAAGTCGCCGGACTGCGGCGCACTCCGCCACACTCCGCCACAGTGCGCCGGAGTGTGGCAGAGTACGCCGGAGTGCGGCAGAGTGCGCCACACTCCGCCGCAGTGCGCCGGAATGATCGTCAATTTAGCCATATCTCGCTTCAGAATGGATGAATTCTGAATCCGAGGACACCGTTCGATTCAGCTCGACGAGACGCATCATCCTATATATAAAGCTGAACGTCTGTTTGTCTGTACGTATGTTTCGAATAGAAAAATCCATTTCTGAACCGATCCGGACGAAACTTGGCACACGTACACCTCGGGCCCCGGCGAGTGTCATAGGCTACTTTTCATCATCGATCGATATCGATTTTATCGATTTTTGTCGATTTTTTGCAGAGTTCACCTACGGGGCTGGGAGTTTGCATAGTGGGGTAATCGAGCATGGGGATTCCGAATACACTATTAGTTTTAAGTATTATCGATTATTATTTTGGTTGAATACGTGTGCTGATAACAGTATTATTATTGATCTGTCGCTGATGACACATAGACAGTATGCTATAGGAGTATGGTAGAGAGCCACTCTGATCGAATTTGTTCTAAGATCTGCTCAAGATCACAATACCGCGCACAGAATGTCAAAATTTCCGTGAACTTCGCGGAATTCAGGGATTTTTACCAAAGTGCGCGATAATCCGGGAAGTTCGCGACATTTCAGGATCCGCGAAACCATGCGAATCACGCAGAGTACGCAACGCCATAACATCCTTCGGAATGAATATATTCCGAATCCAGAAGCAGCATTGTGTTCAGATCGTCGAGGCAAATATTTTGATATGCAGTATGCTCTCGATATTCCATTTCCAGTTTTTTCGAATTTTTTCTGTGGATGTCTTTTCGCAAGGATGTAACGCAGCGTCTGTGTAACATAAAAGATTCCAGTAAGCACTGATCGATAGTACTGTCCTTGTAGGTTATCGTGCGTTCAAGAGTAGCTGCAGACTGTCTTCCAAAAGACACAGAAGCGTTGGTGAATTTTGGAAAAATCACGCGTTTCTAAATTCTACTCGCCGTAACTTCCTTCGGAATGAACATATTCTGAATCCGAAGAAAACTTTGTGCTCAGTTCATCAAGGCAAATCTTTCGATATACAGCATATCCTTGATATTCCAATTTCAATATTCTCAAATCTTTCTGTAGGCGTCTTTTTGTGGAGGTGTAAAGCAGCGCGCACTGCTCCTAGTAGACTCCAGCAAGGATCTTTCGATAGTACTTTTTCTGTAGATTACGAAGCGCTAAAAAGTAGTCACAGGCATCTTTCCATAAGAGTTAGAAGGGCTGGTGAATTCTGGAAAAATCTTGTCGTTTTGAATTTTTCTCAACGTAACTCTAAAATATGAAGCTCTCTTGCTAAGCAGATGTGATTTTCGTAATCAGCAGGTCGGATTACCCTTACAAGCAAGTTTTCCAAGATGTTCGAGTAATTTCATTTTTTCTCGTTTTACGCTCTGAAGCTGCCCGATGGATTTTGGTGAAAATGTTCATGCTCTTAAATTGTAAGGAAACTTCGCTTATAGAGGTTTTCGAACACGCTCTTTACGAAATTCGTGTCTTTGAGGATTACAGGGTTTTCTTGGAGAGATACGGTGAGGTGACTGTAACTGCATCACAAAAGCTCGTAACTTCGCCTCCACCTCTCACGTGTCTGTCAAGGAACCTGCCTGCTTGCTTTACAATTCAAAGTTACTAGGAGATTTGCTATCGAATGGCGCAAGACTCAGGCTCCAGTCTATAAAATTCGCCGAGTTACGAGCCTACGAAAACACGTTCTCATGAATTTTGCTCAAAATGTAAAAATCGCAAATTTCGTAGAAATTTCAGCATGAGTGCTTGTACAATACGCTGATCAAATCTTTTCACATTCTTAATGGATCTTATTGTGAGATTTGGTGATTTGAGTTCTAGCCACAAAACAGCTTTGATATCAATTGCTGAAGCACACGCAAGCACCATATTTAATACAGTGGAGTTATTAAGCGAAGCGAACATAATATCCGCAATGCGAGTGTCATACAAGCACTCACGGTGGAATTTCGACGAAATCTGCGATCTTTACATTTTGAGCAAAATTCATGAGAACGTGTTTTCGTAGGCTCGTAACTCGGCGAATTTTATAGACTGGAGCCCAAATCATGCACCATTTCATGGAACAGTTCCTAGTAACTTTGAATTAGAAAACACAAGAAGGCAGGTTTTCTGACAGGTACGCGAGAAGCGCAGGCGAAGTTACGAGCTTTCGTGATGCAGTTACAGTCACCTCACCATATCTCTCCAAGAAGACCCTGTAATCCTCAAAGACCACGATTTTCGTAAAGCGTGTTCGAAAACCTCTATAAGCGAAGTTTCCTTACAATTTAAGAGCATGAACATTTTCACCAAAATCCATCGGGCAGCTTCAGAGCGTAAAACGAGAAAAAATGAAATTACTCGAACATCTTGGAAAACTTGCTTATAAGGGTTATCCGACCTGCTGATTACGAAAATCACATCTGCTTAGCAAGAGAGCTTCATATTTTAGAGTTACGTTGAGAAAAATTTAGAACGACATGATTTTTCCAGAATTCACCAGCCCTTCTAACTCCTATGGAAAGATGCCTGTGACTACTTTTTAGGGCTACGTAATCGACAGAAAAAGTACTATCGAAAGATCTTTGCTGGAGTCTACTAGGAGCAATGCGCGCTGCTTTACACCTTCACAAAAAGACGTCTACAGAAAGACTTGAGAATTTTGAAATCGGAATATCAGGGATATGGTGTATATCGAAAGATTTGCCTTGATGAACTGAGCACAAAGCTCTCTTCGGATTCAGAATATGTTCATTCCGAAGAAAGTTACGGCGAGTAGAATTTAGAAACGCGTGATTTTTCCAAAATTCACCAACGCTTCTGTGTCTTTTGGAAGACAGTCTGCAGCTACTCTTGAACGCACGATAACCTACAAGGACAGTACTATCGATCAGTGCTTACTGGAATCTTTTATGTTACACAGACGCTGCGTTACATCCTTGCGAAAAGACATCCACAGAAAAAATTCGAAAAAACTGGAAATGGAATATCGAGAGCATACTGCATATCAAAATATTTGCCTCGACGATCTGAACACAATGCTGCTTCTGGATTCGGAATATATTCATTCCGAAGGATGTTATGGCGTTGCGTACTCTGCGTGATTCGCATGGTTTCGCGGATCCTGAAATGTCGCGAACTTCCCGGATTATCGCGCACTTTGGTAAAAACCCCGGAATTCCGCGAAGTTCACGGAAATTTTGACATTCTGTGCGCGATATTGTGATCTTGAGCAGATCTTAGAACAAATTCGATCAGAGTGGCTCTCTACCATACTCCTATAGCATACTGTCTATGTGTCATCAGCGACAGATCAATAATAATACTGTTATCAGCACACGTATTCAACCAAAATAATAATCGATAATCCTTGAAACCAATAGTGTATTCGGAATCCCCATGCTCGATTACCCCACTATGCAAACTCCCAGCCCCGTAGGTGAACTCTGCAAAAAATCGATAAAAATCGATAAAATCGATATCGATCGATGATGAAAAGTAGCCTATGACACTCGCCGGGGCCCGAGGTGTACGTGTGCCAAGTTTCGTCCGGATCGGTTCAGAAATGGATTTTTCTATTCGAAACATACGTACAGACAAACAGACAAACAGACGTTCAGCTTCATATATAGGATGATGCGTCTCGTCGAGCTGAATCGAACGGTGTCCTCGGATTCAGAATTCATCCATTCTGAGGCGAGATATGGCTAAATTGACGATCATTCCGGCGCACTGCGGCGGAGTGTGGCGCACTCTGCCGCACTCCGGCGTACTCTGCCACACTCCGGCTCACTGTGACGGAGTGTGGCGGAGTGCGCCGCAGTCCGGCGACTTTTTTGACGAATTATGAGCGGTATTGTAATTACGCATTCAAATTTTCAATTTAAAAATAACCAACTCATAACTTGATGTCCAGAGGCGCTCGGCAGACAACGAAGACAGATTGGAATCAGCGTTCGATGGTCCTTATAGTCATATCAATTTCATATGAAGAGGTAACTTCGACCATCCGGACCTCCCTTGTGAGTATGAAGAACGAAATCTTTGACGAAAAAAATCACATTTATAGTTGTTGCTGCATTTGTGACCACTTGCGTAAATATTAGTTTCGAGTTTTCGTTTGCGTTATTTGTGAAAAGAGATGTTCTTGCACGTGGGTCCCACGGCGAATCTTTTTTCATCTTTGAGTACTCCGCTATGAGTTGGCATAGGGGTATATGTGAGCATACTGATTACAGAAACGTTGATTTTACGGAACTACTCTCATCGATTTTATCGACGTCTTGCAAACTTCGAGCTACGGGGCTGGGAAAACTTTGCTCACGTAGTGCGACATAATGCGACTTTGCCGGAAGTGCCGCATGGAAATAACTTTCTACGAAACTACTCTACTTTTCGCTTTTATATTTGGAATCGGCACTGCTTGCTTCATTAACATATACTCAAAATCTAAAACATTAATTTTTTTCAAATAGCACAGTAAGATCTCAATTGCGTCGGAAGTGCCGCATTGATATAATGTCTTCACATATTTATCCTAGAAAAATTTTGCTTACTTGTGTCATCAGTGTCTTCACCTCCTTCAGTGTTTTTGAAAACTAAAATCTCATTTTTGTATGTCCTCGATAATTTAGAAATTACCCATAATACCAAAAACTTTAAGAAGCATAAGGCAGAGTTGAAGTCCGTTTATTTTCTAGTTTTTGCTTTGAAAGAGATACTGCCATTGTTCAATCTGATTTTCTCAATTTGAACTGGTAATTTTCCAGTTTTCTAATTTTCGTAAAAGGAAAAGAATGTACATCAAATTTGGAAATTTCAAGGCGCAGTGATAAGCAGGTTTAAATTTCGTGTAATTCCCAGCTTTTGTTTCCAAAACAAGTATAGCCAAAATAGCCCCAGCTTTTCTAGTTTGAAATTTTTTGAATTATGCGGGAATAAGTTTTTACATCGAATTTCCGGTTTCGTAAACAGCGGCAATGGCAGTGCGGCACTTCCGGCGCATTATTGTGTTTGAATCGCAGTTTTTGACAAACGACGCTGACGGCTGTAGCCCAAAACATGAGATCTTCAATCCTCAACTATTTCCAAATTCTCTGCAAGCTCCTATTGCTAGCACTTTCAGAGGCATGAATTGACTAACAACAGCCTGACAATAAGATGCTTACAAATGATCCAGCACATCAGTTAGCATGCCTACAGTACAGTAAATCCAGAGCTTCAATTGAAGTATCGGGTGCACCAGCATTTCCATTTCCGTGATGGGCTCTCAGGACGAGAGTGGGAAAAGCGGAGCCTCAATTGATTGGAAGTGATTAGAGAGCCTGTTCCGCGGAAGAGACGCAGGGTTCAGCGCAAGAGTGGAGAACTGTTGTACCCGACACTTTAATTTTTAAGCCCTGTATGTGAATGAATAAAATACATTATAGTTGCTCGAGAAAATTTGGCAAACGTTCGCTTAGGTGACGACGAAAACGGACTAGATTACTTGAAAAATGTGAGTTCTTGAAGTTAAATTTGCTGATTTAAAGACAATACGATTTTTTCCCCTTTCTCCAGCAGATTTTGAAAAAAAAATCATAGCTCTTGGACCCCTTTCTGACTATTTACTCAAGTTCTTATGCTACATGCCGGCCGAGGTGGGACGCAAAGAAATGCTTCATATCCTTTTTTCGCTCCATATCTACGAGTTGCAATTTTTACTGTCTATCAAAGCAAAGAGCCTCTACCACTTCAAGAAGTTACCATATGAAAAGTGTCATTTTGCTGTAAATGCTAAAATTTTTAGCATTCTTGGCATGTGAGATAAGATCATTAATACAGTTCTGCAGTTTTCACGGATTCAAGAACATATGAATGAGTTCGAGCGGATGGTTCTTTAGGAAATTTCTAGAAGGGATCAACCGCATTGTTTTACGTCGTTGCCATGTAGCCATGCTTACGAATAAGGATAGCCGATTTTTCTTTTATGGGAAGACAAGAAAAAACGATTTTCAGAATATCAGGATATTCTAGATAGCTTTTGGTAAACGAAATTTACAACTTCCTCTCTTTTCGGGGATGTATGTGCTAGCTGTAGTTGTATATATGAACACCCTTTCTCGGAGTTTTTTAAATCAGAGTTTATTACTAGAGTAAAGAGGGACTGAATTTTTTGTTGACGATTGAAGAATTCGAGTACTGCGAACTTGTCAGGACTTTTTTGAGAGTATCAGCACAGTAGAAGTAGAGCTTGTATGTTTTAAGAATAGGAGAACATTGAGAAATTTTAAGTTAATTCAGGCAAAAATCGGAAAATTCAAGAGTTTTTGGCTTATTTAAAGTGCAAAAAGGGAGTTATTTGATTTGGAAATTCAATCAATCTCCCCCCCCCCATCCTCCTCCCTCCCACACACGCGCAACAAGATACACATAGTTTGGGTGGTTCAATAGAATATGATGCAGATTGCTTGGATGATCCCGGAAAACTTTTCAGTTCTCGGGATAAAAAGTCATTATCAATAGCTACATATATACAGAAACATACATTGTACAGCCAAGTAATTCCTTTTGCAACAATTCTTATTCTTCAGAAAAATTTTTGAGAAAAATACTGTAATCTATTCGAATCGAGGGAACATGGATTAAGCGAAAATGAGCCTCATTCAATACACAAGCAGAGCAGACGTAAACCTACAAAAACTTATATGGGTACATGTTGCAAAAAATGCAGGAAATGAACACAAAGTCTCAGGACTTTAGTTAGTTACACGTACGATCAAATCAAATCAAAAAACAACGAAAACGCCTGACATTGTACATCGGATTTAAAAGGCAAAGACACAGATTATGTAATAGTTGGATTGAATCTACATAAATAAGCTAATTGCTCAGCTCTGTTTAAGTCTCAGTGGGGATTTGGAAGCAAAAGTTGAAGAAACTCAACAGTTATTTTGATTTTGTAGTGGATAGTTCGCCATTTTTTCTCAAGACTCGATAACTTGCCCGTATTTCGACGAAAGCCTGAAACGCAGCACATTGCATGCGGAAGAATACTTGATGGAGACAAGGTCAGTTTGAGCGCTATTATGCAAACTGGGTATACAAAAATATACAAAAAATTTTATAGGCTTACATCAAGAACATCACCCTCAAACGCATAAAGCTACGTAACCGCGAATTGAACATGACCTGCAAGGAAGTAAAAGCCCGTATATTACCACCGAGAAGTCTGAAGAAGTTAGAGTTTGGAGTGGCTCATGCTCGCATTGTATACGAGGTAGTGATATATCTTCTTCATCCTCTCTTCATTGGCTTTTTCAAAACAAATTTATGAAATGCATAAATTTACTTATGGATAACGTTGGCTCTATGATCGTATTTTCTCATGCTTTTACAATTTTGAAAGCACTCGTATCAAGCCTATGACCAAATCTTAGCACTTCTTTTGGCTACCGTGAAGGTTTCAAAAAGTCTACGAGGACAAAAAAGAATCATTAAGGGCGAATGTAGACAGCTCTCATCCTCAAGATATCATCAGCGTCCCGTTAAACTGGTATATTATTCTACCCAGACGTTTTCTTCGACAAATTGCAGATAAGATTAGTTTAGTTTTGAAATGTAAATTTTTATGTGTTAACACAGCAAGTATTGCGCAATAGTTGCTAGAAACTACTTGTTTCTGTGCTAAAAGTCGATGGTTTTTATTTTAATGTTAGACTACCTTGCGTACCATACGACCCATCGATGATCGAAAAACAGAACAAAAGAAAAAACTGCAAAAAAATTCGCAATTTCTTCTTTTCTTCTGCGCGTCCATTTCGCACAAAGCAAAGCATTATTAAGCAAATTTCAAACGGCTAAAGCGGTGCCATCGGATGACCATCTCAAAGCTGCGGCGGTTTGGAAAGCGATAGGGTTCCTTCATACTACGCCGCGTGCGCCGCGTACGCAGCGTACGCTGCTGCAGCGCAGTGGAAATATGGACATATGAAGAAGAGAGATCTTTTTCATCCAGTGATGTGTTTGTAAGGAGATATTGGCAGCGCAAATATACAACCACAACCTACAACCATACAACCATATACTACCAATATACAACCAGATGACGCAATGTGCAGTCAGTTACGATACAAAATGTGAAAAAGTAGAGGGAGCACAACAACCTAAGTCATTTCATCAATCATTGATATAGACAAAGGATAGTCAGGATAAACAAGGCAAAAAAGAAGAAGAAATGCATGATGTGAAGGAACACTATTGAGGGACACGAATGTGCAGCAAATATAGGGATACATCAAAAAAGTGGAGCTTTGCTGCCGTGAGCATATTTCCATTGCGCTGCAGCGGCGTACGTGGCGTAGTATGAAGGAACCCATATAGCGCAGACAAATGGATTCTCTGCGAGCAAGAGCGCAAAAGTACGCTGTAGCGGTAGGCTGCTTGGTGGACTAAAGAGAGGGACAAAGTATTATTCTTCATTATGTTTATGGATAGGTTTGGTAGCGAAAAGCTTGATTTTGTGAAATGCATTGAAAAGAGTGTTTTTTGACTTGTATTAGATTGTCACAAAAATTACGTGGCATTGCATCCTGCGTCGAGCAGGATAGGCACCAAAAAGTGATTAAAATACCAGTTGGTATTAGGTTGGTAAGAAAGTTTTCGGACATTTTTACGCTAAAATTGCTATTTATCGGGTTGTGATGCATCTACGAACGAGAAAATTTGTAGTTGTACTATCACATACACGCGGCTTATACCTGCGAAGGTGGGAGGAGCTTAGGGTCAATAGGGGCGGAGTTTGTCACTTTTCGATTATCTCATTTTCCCTGTTAATTAAGCTCAAATTCCATGCAGACTTTGCATATATGTGTGTGAATTCATGTCTGCTATATTTTGGATTATTTGTGAGTGCTACAGTGTGTACGGAAGGTGGAGTCCTGAGCTTTGTCGAAATCCTATGTCTTCGAATTTTCGCCTCTGTTTTCACAGGATTCATTAGTCATGGTTGTGACTAGTACAATACCGCTCATAATTCGTCAAAAAAGTCGCCGGAGTGCGGCGGAGTGTGGCGGAGTGCGGCGCACTTCACCACACTCCGCCGCACTCCGGCGCACTGCGCCACACTTCACCACACTCCGCCGCACTCCGGCGCACTGCGCCACACTTCGCCACACTCCGCCGCAGTCCGGCGACTTTTTTGACGAATTATGAGCGGTATTGTATGTAGAGCAGCCTGTTATGGAATTTTCGGAATTTTGCGATATTCAGGGAAATTTTGCACATCCTGTAAGCGGTATTGTACTCGACGTGCTAACAACATTTCTTATATTGTTTTGCTGCTGGTGGCACATTGTAGGATAGAATATCTGCCAAATTACACGACCTTCGAATTTGAAAGACAATTCATGAGAAGGCGATTTTGTAACATCATAATCTGACGAACAATTCAAATAAAGATCTGTGCTAAGCATGGTCCGATAGAGGTGTTCACAAAGTTTTCAACTCACAAAAATTTGCAGCCATTTTCCGCAACAGGTAGGGGAAAAGTGCAGGCGAAGTTGCGATCTTGGTTGGTCCAGCTACTTCTATCTCACTTTAGCTTTACTGTAAGACTCTCTAGTGCAAAATAAATAGGATTTTCGTAAAGATCGGGACCAAAAACCACTATGAGTGAAGTTTACAGTCAATCCGAGAACTTCAATATTTTAAGCAAATCTTACGCCGAGGCCAAGAGTGAGGAGCGATGAGGAGCGAGAGGCCAAGAGCGCGCTATATCAGTGTGTATTGCTTCTAAGAAGCTGGAAAAAATATGGTGTGTATAGGTATAAGAGAGGTGTCTAACATGATTTTTGGGGGAATTACGGAGCAACTTTGGGAGAGCCGATTTTACGGCCTGAGCATGTATGTTGGGGGGCTAATAACTCTGCGAATATTACAGCTACGGGGCTGGGGTTTGTTTTATTCGACAGATCTCTGAAAATATGATTTTTAGAGAGAAGGTCGTAGAATAACAAATTTCCATTAAAAGTGCCTAATTGACAGCCGAACTTGGGAAATCTGTCAATAAGGGCGATTTCGGCGCCTTATATCTCTAAGAGTTGCAGGGCTGGGGTAATCTCATGTGGCCATTGACATGTAGTTTTGGTAGCTCTATTTTTCTAGGGGTAGCTCGTGCTCACAGCTCCAGCGTAAGAGGCGCTATATAAATGCGATAGTGCATATTTTGAATTTTATCTCCGCGGAGAGTAAGGATGACGAGCTGGGATAGCCATTCTTCAGTTTGTATTCGAGGGGGACACCACTTATAATTCGGAGAAAATGTAGGGGCTCCGGCTGTGGGAGCCTATCTATAAACCTTCCCGGACTTGGAAAAAAAACTTAGACACGCGATTTTTCCTCTTTCTCTCCCCCCCCCCCCCTTTCTCTCTCCCCCCTTATTTTTCCCCCTCTCTTTATTACCGCTTCGTGTACAGTTTTCCCGCGGCCATCTGGACCTGGTTAGGGGATGAAGACGGCTAAAAAAGGGGGTAAATCGGGCTAGAAAAACGCGATTTTCGCTTATTTTTTCTTAATTTTTCTTATTTTCTTCAATTTCGATCGTGACGTGGGGTATAAAGTGGGCGGAGCTTGCTTGGAAAAGTTTCAGCTGTATAAAAGCACTGGAAATGAGCTTATTATGGAGTTTTTCGAATTTTTCGCGTAGTTTTTCAATAATTTTACCGATTTCCGAAATTTCGAAACCTCCAGAATATCGATTTTATCGATTTGTGCCGATTTTTGGGGTTTTGCAACCTTCAAAATATCGATTTTATCAATTTTGCCGATTTTTGAGATATCGATTTTTGTCAATTTTCGGGATTTTGCAACCTCCAAAATATCGATTTTCGCCAATTTTCGGGATTTTGCAACCTCCAGAATGTCGATTTTATCGATTTTTGAGGTTTGATAGTTCTCTAAGCTCAAAATATCGATTCTATCGCTGTTTAGCTGTGAACTGTAAGCCCCGCCCACTTTTGTTATTATACACCTAATATATGTATATTTCCTTCCACTCACTTCATATACAATACCGCTCATAATTCGTCAAAAAAGTCGCCGGAGTGCGGCGGAGTGTGGCGGAGTGCGGCGCACTTCACCACACTCCGCCGCACTCCGGCGCACTGCGCCACACTTCACCACACTCCGCCGCACTCCGGCGCACTGCGCCACACTTCGCCACACTCCGCCGCAGTCCGGCGACTTTTTTGACGAATTATGAGCGGTATTGTATGTTCTTGTAGTGTTTGCTTTCCTTTATCCAATGATGTACAGCATGCCCTATTTGGTGCTTGCATCGGAGCAAAATCATTGTGTAAATGTAGTGTCTGAGAACTTTCTTACCAACATAATAAAACAAAGTAAGTTCTACAAAAACAAGTACAAACATCAGCAAAAACATTCTTCCAAGTGAGGTCGTCAAAATATTTTTAAAAAATTGAACGTACGAAAACGTACCAACGTACCCCTTTTTGAACTTTACAGTTACATTTACAGCTTTACAGTGTACAGTTTGTAAGATTCATTCTTGACTAGAATGAGGAGGACAGGAATAGGCTAGAAATACGAAAATGACGTCATTTCAGCTTTTTGCAGTAAACTTGGCATTTCTCGAATCCTAACGCTTGTAGGGAACGGAAAATCCGTGGTTATACTTTCAAATCCTGAATTTATTCACAAGTTCAATTGAACAAGAAAGAGTCAGACGTTAAACTTGTAATCTCGATTCATAGCCTTGAAAGTATTACGAAACTTGCATGAGAAGTAATTGATGTAGCAAGCATGCGCATGAGCAAGTAGAAAATGTCTATATTTCCTTGGAAAAACGATTTTTCAATCTTTCATGCGCTTAGAGCATAGAATTTGTTTTCAAATTTCTAGTAGATTGATTTTGCGACCAATCAAAAGTCTTTTGTAGAGTTACTTTGCTTTATAGCATAGCAAGCCTTCCACTTTTATCTAACAAGGGAAGCATATATAGTCGAAGTGGCCTATTCAGATGAGACACATACTGCTTTGAAAACTATTGAACAATAATTCCAAATTTGCCTTCATTATCTGTCAAGCGCCTCTGAACGCCGAGTTGTGGACATTTTTCAAGTCAAAAAATTGAACGCAAAATTGTAGCAAAATCGCGCAAATTTGCTCAAATGGTCCGGTGTAGAGTAACAGAGCAGTTCATGCAACGGATGCATTTTGTGTAGTATGCTAACACTTACCACTGCTTTATCTGAGCGCTGATTTGCACTCATTTTCCGTTTTAAAAAAACCTCATAACTCAGCGTACGGAGGCGCTTGGCAGATTGGAAGGCAGATTTGGAGCCACCGTAATTCTCTTCAAAGTCGTGTGAGTTTTTTTGGAAACGCCACTTCTACTAGACACGCTTTCCTTATAAGTTAACCGTAGCACAATACTGCGTGATAGTCCATGGTGAGACATCATTTTTTGAATAACTTAGTACAATAGCTTAGATGATTCAAATTAGAATTCCTTTGGTGACAGTGAGACCATTTTCTTTGAATAAGCGAATTTAATTACAGAATTACATTGTTCTGGATTTCCTTGTTTCCCTAATACTTTGCTCTATAGCATATCATTCGACTCAACTGGTTTGGCACCATTAAGGCGGGGTTTTGTGATCTAATTGAGGCCGCTCGCGCCCACGACGCAACTGCGTCTCTTTCGCGCGAGTGCTCTCCGATTACCTAGCCTTAATTAGGAAGCCAGTTGAACGAAGCCCCGCCTTTGCCGCTGCCAAGCCAGTTGAATCAAATGGTAGCAAACATTTCACTTTTATCTAAGTTAACCATAGCGCAACCATAACCGCGTGATAGCCCATGTGAGACATTATTCTCTGAACAACCTAGTACAACAGCTTAGAAGATTCGAATTAGAGGTTTCTTTAGAAATAGTAAGACCATTTTCTTGAAATAAGCGAATTTAATTATAGTGAGCTTGTTCTGGATTTCCTCTTTACCTATGCAACATCGCTACAAAGAGCAGGGAAATTAACAGCGTTATAAGTGCGAATAGAAAGCGTAGAAACGTACATTGATAGAAGTTGAATTGTAGACGGTCCTACAAAAGTTTTAGAAGGAAGTCCAGAAGCTTCAGTGGCGCGATATCCCGAGTAGTCAATTTGTAGAGTTGATCTTGCTCCACAAATGACAACTTCGTTACCCTCATTTTTTTTGTTTGGCTTGTGTCTTGTTTTTTTTCGTTACAAAGCATCTCGCCCCTTTGTTCAACGCGCATCGCGCAGTGAAATCCATGGTAAAAAGTAAAGTGGTGTACCATATCAATGCACGAGATCCTCTCAGCTTTACTTGACCGAATCTTTTACCCTTATTCAGAGTCACGTTGATGCGTTATACGCCATCTGAAAAAAATTGTGTTTTACTCGGCTTTGTTAGCTTCAGTTTTTGATGATTTAGATTGCTTGAATGTTATCATTGCTCTCAAACTTTTCGGAAAGGTTTCTTCTTACGATGCACTTCATCTTCTTCTTCTCTGTTCTAGAAAATTGTTTTTTGGATGAATAGTATGCTTTTTTGGAATACCGCTAGCGCCAATGAAAATCATTCAGTCTAGCAACTCTAACGCTTTCCATAATGAATCTATTTTTGCATAAGCAAGAAGAATAATTCTCGTTAAGTAGTGGTATTTACGAAATGGTTCAGAGAGCAACCTCTGATGTCACTAACCAAAGATTTGTCACCTTTACACCTACTGCTGATCCCATTAAGAAGAGCTGTAGTATCTGGTCACGAAACTTCTCGATTACAAGAATTCCACGAATTTATTTTATTTGTGTATCACCTAATCTTATTAATTTTAGAGCTACGAATTTATTGAAGACGAAATACGATCCAGTTACCACCCGCAGAATTTCTTCTGTTTCTCGGTTGACAAGAAAGCCAAAGAAGATTTGTACTCCAAGATATCTACGCTATCGAAATGTCTACCCAACGTAATCATAAACCCAAGTAGGTTTTATTATCAAAGGTTCAAAAAGAGGAGTGAGCTGCGTTGGTCAGCTTATTGAGTCGGGTTAAAATTCTGTAATGTTTCTTGACTGGACTATGACTAAGAGCATCAAACACATACAAGTAATAACAGGTTTGTAAAAATAGGCTTTTACCTTTCCGTATGGTATGCGTTGCATATGTCATTCAGAGGAGATTTAATTAGAAAGTGCAATCTTGCTCGCAGGATTCATTGTCAGCACAGGTGGCACTTAGACAGGCTGGGTTTTTTTTTATAGAGGAAAGCGCAAAAATATCGATTTTGCGGGGTCAGTAGTTTTGCACTCGATTCATTTTGGTAGAAAATTACTAGCCCAGAACCATAATCTTTACAATCAAAAGAGCCGTGTTACATTCCAATTAATCCAACGAGGTCTTGTTTCTTCTTTTAAAGAAGATTTTCATGTGGCACATGACTCACAGTCCCTTTCTCTCTCACCCTCTTTTTTCCTCTATCTTTTCATCTTGTACGCGCAAGGTTCGTCTTCAATCATTCCACTTTTGCAAAGGCAACAGTGCCCTTAGTGGAAACGTGGATATATAAAGCTGTTTGTTGTTTGAATATTTGGCTTGTTTGCAACAAATATGCAACGATATGAAATTAATTGTGATATTTGAAAGATTCTGAAGTTATGTGAAACAAATAAATAGCAAACTTTTGTCAGAGTTAGTTGGCCCACCTGCCACCTTGAACCAGCTGAGGTGGCCTAAGACTACAGGACTTATTAATTGCTCGGTTGCACAAGCAATCCGCTCCCACGCGGCCGCTCTGCCTAGACTCTGCACTTTTTCGCGAACATGCTCTCTTATCACTTTCTCACCACGAGCGTGGGCCCAGTCCAGATTCGGAACCATTACCAAAACGGAGTCGGCAGAAATCCCGACAATCCCTGTTTCAAAAAAGCCGCAACCTGGTTTTCCGGAACGTTAATTGGATGGACGCGTATGGATGGGCGGATGTTGTCGCTGTCCCGAAGCGGCTATTTGCGTTGCTATTTGGTCATTAGCTTGATAGGGGGTTCCAGTATTGTGAGCTGACAGTAGCTCAAGACCTTCAAATCAGGAACGGTGCCTTTAAGCCCTCTCGCGTCGGCTAGTTAGCACATTGACGACCGCTTGACACACATTATCAAGATTCAACATATATGTGTCATTGAAATGGCTACTATTTTGTGTCAAACCCACCACGGGTGTTTTCTTTTCCTTTATGTTGGATCTAGACACAACTTTTACTGTTTTTGCCAGCATTCCAGCGTTACTGTAGATGTACTGTAAATGAAATTGTGCGGTTTTTATCCAAAAAATGTTGACTTTTCCGTGAAATGCTTTGGTCATCAATGTGTTAATGCTTACAGTTTACAAATAGTCGTGACAGCTGGCTCAATCCCGTTCAACCCCAAAAGTGCTCGTCGAAGATAGCATGCTGCCAGTGCAAAAAATACGAACAGCACTCCTTCTGTTGGTTTCTGTTCTGTTTATTACGTTCAGTGTTCATCTTGTGTCTTGTTCTTTTTCTTCTTGTTCCTTCTTCTCCATCGTTTTTCAAAGGCAATGCCGCATTTTCTGCAAAACCAACAAGGATTTCGCTTTGTGTCCTAGATCTTGATGATTGATTGTCGTGAACCAGTTCTAGTTCTTAAGCTGCTACGTAAACATAACATGCGTATTTATATGTGAGAATCGTTTACAAATTACGCGATTCCATACGCTATCGCAACAAAGTCGAGATAAAAATGTTTAAAAAACGCGCGACAAAGCAAAACAAGCTGTCCGAGGTAGCACTTGAAAAATCGCAAGAATTGAGTAAAGTTTGGAAGCAAAATCAAAAAAAAATTAGGTACAGATTTCCGTTCAAAAGATCTTGTAGTAAATGCCCCATAAGACATATATAAATTTTCTGTTTTTTTTTTCGTTACGAATTCATTCAAAGGCAGTGTCTCATCAAAGTTAAGGTCGCATGGATCTTCACATATTGTATTATACAGAACTCTAAATAAGGTATTACAACAAGTCCCACTCAATTTGATACCCACCACGCTGAGAAAAATTCGTTCAAAGTGGTACGCGTAGAGCGATTTGGTACGCGCGGACGACTCCTTCGGTCTCCTCCCTTACGCGTTTGAACATATCCCTCCACTTGGCATCCCACCTCTCCTCTGTTGCTGCCACTGTGGCTGAGGCTGAAGTTGAAAGGCACAACTCGTTTGAGTTGCTTCCGCGGGGCCTCCAGAAAACGGGGTTTTTGAAGACTTCGTGCGATTTTAAGCCCATACAGCGCTAGGCAGGGTTCGACAGGCTTGCAGAATGCAAAAATTCCGGCAACTAAATTTTTGTGAGGCAGTGTCTTTAGAGGCAGCGTACACCCAAAATCTAAGTTATCCAATTCTCTATACCGTGTGTATGTAGGGCCTTCAAAACTCGTCCTCCCTTTGAAGAGAGGGTCTCCGGGAAACGGGGTTTTTTGGGACTTTTGGAGGATCTTAGTGTCATGACTGTAATCAGAAGCGGAAAGGCCCCAGAATGGCAAAAATATCGAAGGCAAAATTTTGGATGTACGCTGCCTTTAACGAAAAGACATGGTTTTGCTGGAAAGATGTTAGGCTATTTCTACAACGTACGACATACTGTTGCAAGTACAACAAAAACATTCAGCTCTTCAAAGCTCCCAGTTAACAAAGAGCGCCATTTAGCATGAAACCCGAGAGAAGGAATATATTCTTACTTTTAGTTGCTTTTTTCAAATAAGTTTCCATAAAAAAAGCTAATTTAGCTTTTAGTGATTGGACAATACTGCCTGCCAAATTGGAAGTCCAGATAATCTCTATAGGCGAAGATTTGAATTTTTGAATACTTGAAATTTCAAAAAAAGCTTCCAAATTCCAAGCAAATTGAACCTGTTGTTCAAGTATGCAACTATCATCTTGTAGTGTTGTCTTTCCTCTATTGTGTGCTGTGTTTGCCACAATTCTGATAAAGCCTGCATTGGTAGCATGAGAAAGTGCATCAATTATGACCAATCAATAAACAAAATTCCAATCTTTACAACCGTGTGAGCCACGTGTCAAAAATTCTATCTTAGGCCTAAGGCATACCTAACGGGATTCCGGTCGCTGCGCGATTCGGCACGACAGCGACTCTTGGTAATTCGTCAATAATGCGCTGTCTTTAGTTAGAATTTGCTCGTTTGCAACAACTCACACAGGCTACCCAAATATGCGTCCCAAAAGCGCGCACAATAAATTTGTAGAAATCTGGCAAATCGCCAAGTCGCGTGAAAGTGGCGATTCGGCCTAATCGCGTGAGGTATGTCTTAGGCCTTACACGTCACTTATGAGGTAGGAAAGATAACAACCGTTCGTAAACGCTTTTGCAATTGAACGACGATACTAGACAACATTATGTTCGAGATATCATGGCTTTTCAAAATTATTAAACGACAATAGTAGACAACATTATGTTCGAGATATCATAGCTTTTCAAAATTATTAAAGTATTTAGTGCGCTATTCCATTAGCAGCGGAGGACGTAATATGAACCAGGCCCATTACGATTGCCTCAAGCTTCTTTCTAAATTACAGGGCTGGCAGTATGCCATATTACTTCAGGTCTGTGAGAATCTTTTAGCGTTTCGCAAAGGTATTGAGAGAAGTTGAATGCTACGGGTTATTGCAGAACTACGACATGATGATCAAATCCGTGTATGAGACTGTGGCGATATTGCGTGAGCTCAACGGAGCAAATGACATTTGTTCAAGGCCATGCGAAAGCAAAAGATGGAATCATACAGCAAAATGGGATGCGCGTTCACTTAAACTTTTCCGAAACGGTGTCTGTAACGGTTGTAGTATAAACTCAACAAATAAATTTTTACAGAGTCACAAGCATCGGCAACCCAGCTAGCAGCCAATCTAACAATAGTACGACACATGGTACAGTCTACAATAAGCAGAGCTGCTGTTGAGTGGGCTGTTAAAACAGTTGATTTGAGTACGCTTATCAAACAGATCAACACAGCTGTAAGTATATATCAAACGCATTTCTATAAATTGTTTCCATAGTGATTTCGCTTTTTGCAAATGAGCTTAACATCGTACGAAAATCCGATACAACTTTTCATGCTCCGTCAAATCATTATGACTGCATTGCACTTTTACCAACAAACTTTCTGAAAATAACCAAAACGTTTTTGTTATGCTCGAGTTTCGGCACCTTTTAGATTTTTTTATCAACTTCCAAAAGAAGTTCAATTAACGGAACGGATGGATAAAGCAAACTCTACAAAATATAAGAAAAACCTTCTCCTTTTTTCATAACTCGCCATAATCTATGATAGAATTTTGTTCGATACCGTCAAAGTATTCGGTCAAGTATCTCACAGAACATCAAACGGCGAGCACAACACGGATGCCATTCTATGCAGCTTTTTCTCCACTTTTTGAGGGCTGTTTTTGTTCTCGGTTTGCGAATTCTTTGCGGATAAGTTTATCCGTTCATGTTTTCAAACGCACTCAATGCGACATGAGAAGATTACCCGCCGTCTGGTTTTCGGTCGCTAGTTGTTCTCCCTTTTCTTCACCCAGGTCGGCGATGGCCCCGTGGAAATCAAGTGTAGAAGTAAGTTTTTCTTGTAGAGGAAGAAATTTTATTACTCCGCCAGTAAAAAACTATAAAGAAACCCTGTACATTGGATTTCGCTTATGGCGCCGGGCGGTAGCAAGAGCGATGTTAAGGTCCTCAGGGCGCCTTTCAGATCGGACCAAAACGACGCGTTTGTCCGGACAACACGCCATGGAAACTCTCTTATGTTGTGCTACAACGCCAGGACAGTCTCCACAAACACCGACCTTTACGCTCTTTTCGACGCTGCAAAGCACATCAAGTACCACGTCATCGCTCTGCAAGAAACGAAGTCCAGGAAGAAGAGCGTGCGACAGTTGTCTGATGGTACTCTCATCACTCGTGGTGAGAAGGATCCATGACGAAAGTTAGAGGTTTGGTTTCTCGTCCACCCTTCTTGCCGATTTTCATGAGATCCTATCAACCCAATTAGCCATCTCCATCCTACGCTTACGACCTGCAAGTCAGAAGATCATCAGCATCATCAACTGCTACTCTCCAACATCAGCAGGTGACGAATCAGAAAACTAGTTGCATTTTAGAAAGACGTGGAGGGAGTCGTCGGCAACGAGAGTTACAATTTTGTTGTGGGCGACTTCAACGCAGAAATTCGGATGCCAGTAGAAAAGGAATTTAAAATCGGAAGTTTGGATATGAACTCCGAAACGAAGGCATTCGTCTCGTGGGGCTTCTCTCCGCCTCACGATTTTTCTATAAAAAGTCCATATTTAAGAAGAAAAAACATTTCCGGTGGACTTGGAAATTCCTCAACGGAACGACTCATGCGGAGATCGACCACATCTCACCCTACGAGCGAAGGTGCGATTCATTGAGAGCTGGAAAAGAAGGTTTGCCACAGTGCCGCAAGAAGAAAAAATGTCGTTTATGACGGTAATAGTCTGAGAAAGCTCATATCAAAATGTGACTGACCCATCGAGGAAGACCCAACCACGACCACGATTGGCTCCTGAAAGGATTGCGAACCTGCGGAAAGTGCGCCTCTGCGACTTTTGTGAAGAACTTAAAACGCATTTTGAAAACCATCAAGACTACTCAAAAGAAGAAGATCTTAAAAAGTGCCGAAGGAACCTTTGCAAATGTCACCTGCCATGGCTGCCTATTTATCTGAAACAGGAAATTTTACTTTGGGAAGAACTTTTACACTAATCTCTTCCGCTTAGCGCCGATGCTCGTTGTTCCCACATTGGAAAAGTATCACCTTGTATTCTACGTGTTAAAGTGCGTAATGCAATTCGAGCAATGAAGACATCAACGGCTTCAGGACAGATCATCTTTCCGTCGAATTCCTGCGAGCTGGAAGACGACGTCTACACGAAATTCTCGCGTCGCACCTGACATCTTACCTTCAAAAGCAAAAAAATTTCCGACCATTGGAAAACGTCAAAAACCGTCTTTTTTTGGAAGAAAAATAACGGAACACCTTTGAAACCCCCTTCCAGTATGCCTGCCAAGTTTGTTGTACAAGCTTTTCACAAAAATTGTTCTTGCTCGCATATCCAAACTGGATAAAGCCCAACCCCAAGAACACTGATTTTGCAGTGGATTCAATTGTATAAACCACAACATACGGTTCGAGGATCAAAGCAGTCTGCCGAAGATACCGCTGCCTGTCGTCCTAACCGAATGCCACAAGCACAACAACAATGCAGTTATCTCTTGCTTTTTTCCATTCAATGGAAGAAGCTCCGACAAGTATCACCTCTCACCCTGTTCACCGCGGTTTTGCAGTAGTGTGAAGTCACTGGACTGGGACGAGAGAGGCATACGAGTTGATGGGAGATAGCTGTCCAACCTTCGTTTTGCGGATGACATCGTTCTCTTCTCTAACAGTATCACTGAAGCAATGACGAGCCGAAGCTGAATGAAGTTGTGAAGAAGATCGGCTTGTGAATGACTGGAAGAGGACTTACAAGGGAATGGTCAGAAGTCGAAGTGGCTAAGTCAAACAAGCTGTATACCATTCGATGCAGTATAAAAATCTGACTTCGAATCTGTCTTTCTCATCTGCTTCCCGCTTCTGTGGCTGAGCTACAAGCGGTTTTATTGTGAAAAAATCACACATGAATACAGCGAAATTGAGCACCACACTGTCGCATTTTTAGTTCAGCTTCTTTCTTCAAAAGTTTGAAGTAGGCTAGCTGCATGTTTTGGCCCAGCATCAAGGCGAACGTGGCTCTGCACGGCTAAATTTTCAATTTCAAGTGTAATTTCTTAGCAAAATAATTGTTTTTAATGGCTTGTAACTTCGTCCACAGAAGCGGGAAGCAGATAAAAAAGACAGATTTGAATTCAGCGTTTTATACTGCATCGAATGGTATACAGCTTGTTTGGTTTGGCCACTTCTACTTCTGACCATTCCCTTGTTAGCTGATAAAGGACGCCCTTACGAGATTGCAGAAATACAGTTGGAAGGTACCTTTATGGAGACTCTTTTTAAGTATATTTCGGACGTTTGATGAACATGGAGAACGAACCTGAGGGAAGAGCTTGACAGGAGAAGAAAAGCAGGTTGGGCCGCTTCCGGGCCTCTAAAGAAGCCTTCGATCAACGGACTGTAAAGCTTCATGCCCACCTGTTCACTCAATCATTCTCCCGGAGCTATGTTAAGCAGACTTGGGCTGACAGTGTAGTCACGTCGAAAGCTTTAAGGACCACCCACAGAGCGCTAGAGCGTAGTCTTCTGAAGATGATCCGACCAAACCATCTCGTCGGACTTCGCAGTACGGATATGAGGAGAATGTCCCGTTTTCGTGACCCAGCGGAATACGTTGCGAAAGCGAAATATCGATGGGCCGGTCAAGTTTTGAGAAAGACAGACGATAGATGGACACATCAGAGTAGATTCCTCGAGCAAAACATTCCCCGAGCAGGACCTCCAATAAGATGGGCAGACGTGTATGTGAAACGGATGGACCAGCTGAGAAATTAGCTGGATACAATTTTTCCCCTAAAAGTCGTGATGCAGCCACCGGCGACGACCAAGAAGATCGTAGATGTCCGAAGTGAGGGACAGGGATCAATGGAAACTTCTGTACTGGGGCCCGCACGTCACGTGAGGACGGGCTATCTAAGTATCTAACAAGGGAAGGATGCTGGTCGAAGTGGCGTTTTCATATGAGATGTAAATTACCTTATAGAGCATGGAACACTGATTCCAAATCCACTTTCGGTTTCTGCAAAGCGCTTTTGGGAGGGGAGTTCTGATTTGGCTGAAGGGTCTGGGAAATTTTTGAGGTAAGAATTTAATGATCTAGCTAAGATAAAAATAGGTGTTGAGGTCTTTTCAACGCTTAAAAGAAGTAATCACTGACATATGTTTGTTACATTGAAGGCCTTCCATAAAACGTTCTGGTAGTAAACATGCCTTATTTGAGCTAACAGACTAAGATTCTGAATGATTTTATTATAGCGGAGCCATCAAGTTTCGCATTAGAACCTTTCCATAACTCTCCTCCAAAGCGCTTTGCAGATCTTAAAAGTGAATTTGAACTCAGCGTTCCATGCTCTATAAGGCATCATACATATCGCATGGAAGCGCCACATCGACCAATTTCCTTGCAAGTACAAAAATTGAGACCCGAATAATTTTAAGAAATGTATTATTTTTCTTAGGAAATTCTTTTTTTAAATTTTTCTTCTTCACATCTGATTATCTTATGATTGCTAGGTCAAAAGAGTATTGGGTTGCTGCAATAATAGTCTAAATTTTCATTCCAACTTGAATGAAGTCAATTCTTTGTCGAACTCTGTTCGAAATGCAAAGAGAATTACTTTCTTACTCCTCATGTAAACTGCTTAAACAAATGGTATACTTTACGTGTTCTTAGAAGTTTCAAACAAGACATGGAAAATTTTTGAAACACATTAAATAATTGTTGTTGGAAAATCTATCATCTTACACGATTTGAATAAGAAGCTGTTGGATTTGATCAGTACCAATCAATGACGAGTACGGGCGACGCGATAC